TCCTTTCCTACTTTATTTCTTTTCTAGGCTTATTTTCATTGCTGCAGGGCAATGATTTCTGAATACAAAGAGGGTTTGAACAAGACTTATTTTAAGTATGTCACCTTGAAGGTCAAGAATCACAGATGATGTTTCCCTCACCATTATCACTCAGATCAAGATAAACAGAAGTCCAGCATAACCCTACAAAACAGCAGGCATCATCTCAGATGGTGTAGTTTCTATAGTTCCACTGAGGTCCATGAAATAACTCCAGTTTATGATTTGTTACATTTTATGTTACAATTAAACATCATCATCTTGCATTTCTTAATATTTCTTGAAGCATTATCATCCTGTCAGATAAAATAAGCAGGAGGGGTTCAGATTACTAAAGGCCAGATCCTATTCCCCCTGTGACATACAAGTGGTATTTTGTGTGTTATACAAACTATTCCACCCTGATCAACTCCCTAAAAAACCATTAACACAGAAGTTGGGTGGGTGCTCCTCCACTTCACTTTTTGTTACTTAATCTTAAATCTAAGTGAAGGCACGGTAGAAAAACTGCATTAACTGTTTTTCATGAATTTGATCAGGGTGGAACAGGATCACATTTAGAGACTTAAACTTAGGGTGGAAACAGACGTTGCCTGATGTCTCACTTGTGATGCCATAAAAAAATTTAATGGCAGCACAAATGCTGAGTAAGCAGAACACTGATACCCTTGTATGACACGAAAGGAAAAATCAGTGACATGACAAGATGGTAACAGACTCTATGGCTTTACTGTGCTGGACATCTATTACCTATGACAGAGGAGTACAAGCAACTCAAGCTTCAGCTGCTTGTACTCTCTGACCACCCCAAGCAGGTGCTGTCAGGGCTTGAAGACCCCTCTAGACCTTGGAGCACCTGTCTGCTTTCTCCATTTACAAAAAGGCACCCCATGAATCTTGGGGTGTTTCTCTATAAGCAGGGAAATCAGGGTTCCCTGCTCAGCCAGACGCATCTCCTGTGATTGCAGGGGCGTGTACCTGGTGGGGCAGGTAAAAGCCCCCCTTTCCCAACTGAGTCAGACTCATCCTCAGTAGTCATGGGAGATGGGTCTGGCCAAGTGGGGAAAGTGGAGAGATCACACTGTTCCTTGTCCTGAACCATCAAGGGCAATGTGCATTTTGCCCAATGGAGCGCATCAGCTGTGCCATGACAAATCACAGCACAGCTGATCCTCTTCATTTCAGTGACATTACTTCTAGCCTTAGACATCTTCTAAGCAGAACGGAATCCAAGTGTAAGTGTTCATACGTAACACTTGGATTCACCAGATGGTGATCAATGAACACCAGATGGAAACAATGGGCTGCACTGCAAGTTCATGAAGAAAAAAAAATGTGGAAGGGGCCCAGGACAAGACACCCCACAAGGATCTCATTGTAAAGATCTCTGCACTTTGTCCTGGCAAAAAAGAGTAAGGGGTGCTCCTTCCACAAAACAAAAAGCTGCAGGACCTATACTTCAGATGCTGCAAACACAAGATTATCCATGAACACATACTGTTTTATGGCCCTAGCTGCTTCATGTTCTTTTTTTCCCCCTTGATTCTTTTAGGCAGTGGCACAGGCAGCTCACTGAGTGCCTGAAGTGAGGAGGTGGGGTGCGGGGGGAGACATAGCAGTGAGAGTATGCCAACCACAATAGACCAGGGGGTGGGGAGGGAAGCAGCACCATTCTGCCTACCTCATTCACCCCCCCGCACCCCCAAATACACTGCTTGGTGCAGTGCTTCACTTGGCAGAGGACTGCTCATGTGTGGCAAAGACTCCTGGCAGGGGTTATCCTGGCACCACCTCTTGGTTGGCACCCAGCATAGGTGCTCCCCTCTCCCCACCCTAGTTATGCTGTTGCTTCCAAGAATGATCCATGCAACTGTATCCTTCTTTAGTGACAGGGCAGGCAGTTCTCAACTGCAGGACATGCCCCCTTAGGTTTAAAGGCAAAGGACATGGCACAGTTGAAGTAACTGAAATTCTCATTCCTCAGCAAAATAGAAGGGGTTTCTTATTTTACATGCCCTGAACCTAAAAAATTTAGCCTGCTACCACCAGCTGTAAAGTACTATGTGAAAAAAGAAAAGAAAAGAATTGATGCTCCTTTCAGATTATAAAAGTGTGAGCAAAAGAAAGATTTTGTAAAACCTCCTACACACACTTCCTGGCAAGTGTGATCAAAGTGGCACTCAGGCTAAGCAAAAAGGACCTATTGTTGTTTTCTTATTTATCTGATATCTCAAGACAGACCACCACTAAAACTATAGAGCATTTCCTAATGTATAAAGAATGTCTCTATTTGAGTTGCAGTACAAATTTGAAGCTAAGATCAAGTTGGTTAAAAAGGTCCACAAATTCCTTCAAACTCCTTCAAGTGTACCTTTCAAGTGAACTAGATAATGATTTTAACAAAAGTATAGGAATTTTGCACATTTTTATGTGTAACCAATTAAAACTAAGCACTTTTGACTGAAAACTTACTTTTGTGTTCTATTTACATTCAAATATGTTCAGCTCACATGGTGTAAATGCATGTGTAGGAAAACTGATAGGAAAAAAATGGACAACAGGATAATGGAATAGCTGCAGAGCTAGAAACTTTTACAAGTATTAAAGTGCTAACAAATCAGCTGCATAATCTAATACAATAGTTGTCTTTATATGGTATATATTTTGGGAGGCTCTTAAGGACAGTAAATTCCAAGCCTAAAAAGTCCTGCCTAATACATTATTTAATCTAGTCTACAGCTTTTCCAGGCACTTCTGTACAATTTGTAAGACAGCTACATATAAACAGAAGTGGTGTTCCTTGCTCCTTAACAAGAGTTTAAAAACCATAATAAATTACATAAGTGCTCATAGTTATCCAGGTTACCCTAGCAGTGACAGTAAGAGAACTAGAATTTTTCTCTGTTAAAAACTACAGAATAAAAGGAATATAGAAGAAATATTCTGCTCAAGAAGTCTCAAGATGCAAAAATATATCAATGACAGATTATATTCAGAGATTAATTTAGAAGTTTCCTTTTAAATGGATTTTACCATTTTTACAAAAACATCCCAATAACTGAAGAAGAAAATATATTTTTAGTGAAAATATCTCTTTTAAGTTTTCAAATTATAGCCAACATTTTCCATCATCATTGCCTAAGTATAGGCACATAAATCCATATTTCAGTGTGTAAAAATAAATAGCCTGATTATCAAAGGTGCTGAACTCCTGTATCTAAAATTGATTTCAGAGAGCCTATTTTTGGAGAAAGATGTGTCTAGTTAGGTGCCTAAACAGTGATTTATATTCCCAATTCTAGAGTTCTAGTTTTGCAAATTTTGATCAATGTTATTGCCCCTTTTAGCCTGAGCAGTTAACCAATATTCTAAGCCTTCCTAAGTTGTCTCTGTAAAGAGGAGAAGTTGTGATAGGGATGAGTCATTTCTTTGATGCAATTCTCTTTATTTACAGAAAAATGTAGGCAAACTCTGTTGCTCTGTATTGGAGAAAGAGCAGTAGGAAGAAGTTTCTTCTTTAAAAGTCATGTTGGGCACCTCAGCAAGTCTCCTGGTCCAAAGGACTATATTTCTTGGTATCTTCCCGAGATGAAACATCCTTATGAGACTAAGCATCATTCCTCGGCATCCTCTTGAGGCTACTACTTCTTACTGTCTGTTTACTTTTTCCCTGCTTTCTAATTTATTTCCTTAATACATATACAAAGACACACAGCTGAAATTAAATACGTGTCTCAGTTTCTGAATTTGTGATCCGTCCCCAGTAAAATGTCCTAGACCACATGGCTTAATTTATAATGCAGCCTTGCCATGCTGGCCCACAGCTCAGGTGGTAGCTTGTTTTTCAGGTTATCACTGAAAAAATAAGAATTCAACCAATTTTTTATTTAGCATGAAAGAAGAATGTGCATCTATGGACTTCTACCAAGTCTGCAGTTGATGGCCACTATTAAAATCTTACATCTCTGTAACCACTTCTTGAATATTGGCAGTAATTTAGAAGAATCATTAAAGCCCCAGAAGACACTGTGGACTCATAGTAGCAATAGCAACCACAAAACAGGTGAGACTTGGGAATAAATCCCTTATTAACACTGGATAATTGAAGAGGTTGCATAAGCCTATGGGGATTTCCCACACTTCTGGGCTTTGCTGGCTGTCACATGGAGTCAGGAAGGAATTTCTTCCCTCTCCTGTGGATACATATATCGGAGAAAGGGGGAGGTGCTTTCCTCAGAAGCACTGTGTGTTGGCTGCAGCCAAGGGTGCAGATTTTGACTGGGGTGTGCCAGTGCTCCTGCTAGGACTAAAACCTGGAGGATCCCCGCTAGAAGGTCTTGCCTCTCCGACAGGGTCAGACCAATCACCACTTGGGGTCAGGAAAGAATCTGAATTTTACACCATGACAAGAGTGGTACAGATTGTGAGGGCTTTTTAATTTTTATTAAACACCCCTTGCATATTTTAATCCCCACTTGTAACAGAAGGACATTGGTCATCATTGTCCCTCTGTTTTACTTGTACCAAGTTATGGTGCTATGCTTTGTGATTGTGTGGAAGTGGGTGCCTATTTTAGCAGTAGTTTAGATAAGGATTTGCTTAGGATGGTTTGGATAGGGATGATCCTGCCTCAGGCAGAGAATTGGACTAGATGACCTCTAGAGGCCCCTGCCAGCCCTAGTTTTCTATGATTCTGTATTTTTGAACAGCAGATCACTTCATTTAGGTACCTGAATATAGATGTAGAACTAACTTCAGGTACCCATTAAAAAAAAAAAAAAGAAATCAGACAACTGTGTTATTACATTACTTTGAAACTCTCAGTTACATATGTGTATGCTTTATGCTACTCAAATATATAAAAACACAGAGAACCAAGCACATTCATCCAGAGAAAGAGAACACAAGGCGCAAAATATGCAAGAGTCAGATGCCATAATATTATTATTAATATGTCTAACCTTTATCCAGTGATGGTTAACTTCTTTCAGTCTATTCTCAAGTTTATGTTTTTCTTCTGGGTTCAGCAATGCACTTCTAAGTACTGTTCCTCCAGTTTCATTTAATCGTTTCAATATTCCCTTGCGTAGAGGTAGCTCTTCAACTCTGAACTGAAACAGACAAATGCAACATTTAACATGAACCATGGGAGAATCTTCTACTCTCTTACCTTCTTCTTTTAATTTTAATCAATTACTCCGTCAGTCAAAGCAACTAAATTCTGGCTTTAGTTAAGTACAGATAGCTACGAGCTTTAAAAGCTCAGAAAACCACAAATGTTGACTACGTTATGCAGATATATCCTGGACAAAGAAAGCCTCACCCTAGAAGGCCAACAGAGAAGGAAATTTCTTGGAGAGAAATAAAAAGTTTCACTGCTAATGTGATGAATCCCAATGTTGGCCACCAAATGATTTAGGAATATATATTTATTCTGCCTTTTGTTAGTGTGAATTAAGTCCCATGGAAGGGGTTCCAGGTCTTGTGTAGTGCTGAACACCCAGATCTACCTCATAAACAGTATTATTCATAAGACAGCTATGTAAATTAGAGGAAGATGGTAATATAAGCTGCATCCTGCCTACTATGCCTGTTTCTTCATAATTGATGTCCAAGGCTGTCCAGCTGCTGGCCCTTGGGCTGCAAGTGGCCTCCAAAGGATTAATTTGTGGCTCCCAGACTCCCATCCAGCTGCCTTCTCCCCTTCCCCACAGCTTTGGCTGCAGCAGCATCTGGGTTCTCTGGGTTTTCCCACCCTCCTGCAGCTTTTACTTCCTGACCCCATGCATAGGGGTGCAGTGCAGTGCAGACCATGGTGCCAGGAAAACCCATGGCCCAGGGCACTCTTGCAGGCATGGTGTAGTGGGGAAGCCCGTGGCTAGGAAGCTGAGGGTACAGCAGAGTGGGAGGGCGGAAGTCTGCATGGCATGCAGCCCAGTGTGGGGCAGCGGTTCATGCCAATGCGTCTCTCAGCTTTTAAAAAGTTGGGCAACCTTGAATCTAAATTTAGATATTCTCAACCTTAAGTCTATCTATTCTCCCTCTTACACATAATTATTTCAAATTTGTGGTCTTGATATCAAGTAAGTAAAAATTATATAATAAGAAGTCAAACTTCTTTAGCCGTCATTTCCTTTATCTGATTAGCACAATCTTAGAAGGCCAGTGCAGAGCTTAAGTTAGTTGTTACACTATTAGGGTTGTAGTTGTCATTAAAAAAACCTTTGTGCGGTCATTATAACCCCCCCCCCAAAAAAAACAAAACAAAAACAAAACCAACAACCCACAAACAAAAAACCCAAAACAAGCCTGATGTGCCGTAGGGTGACAGAGATATTAAGAAAAAAAGAACTTATAATGATTTTGACCCATTTTTCAGGAGGGAAAGCAGGACTGTCTCATACATTAATATATTTTAGGTTAAGAGACCATACATCTGCATAGGCCCTTAAAGGTGCGTTCTCCTTCTCAGATCCAGCATGAGCCAAACAGCTGTTGACATTAGCAACTTTATACTTCAGGTTTCCATAGCTCTACCAATGCCATAATAGAGGTCAGAGGAGCTATACAGCAGAAGAGAGAAGACCAGAAATGTTATAACGTTCTGGCATTTCCTTTAGAACTTGTAGTCCCACAGGATAGATTGTTTATCTGTGAAGCAGCAAGTATATTTCATGTGAGATATAGGTGGGATTATAATTATTATTTTATGCCCTAGGAGATGAAAAAAGATGCCTTTCTAAGTTTGTTACTTAGAAAAGCATCTTCTAATGCCTTCTAGTGCTCTTGATGTCTTGGGGACCCATGTAAGAGTATCTGCATGCTTTTGTGATGAGCATATTGGTTAGTTGCATTTTATTAAACCTTGTTATACAACTGTTATTCACAATTCCATATTCTGTAAACTCACATTTAAATACCTATGAAATTAGGGTAATTACAGTGCTATGAATTGGCTGAGAACCAGATATTTCCTGCAAATCTGAAAGTGTTTGCACACATGCTTTACAAAACTTAGCAATTCAGTTGTGGGGAGAGGTATCTTGGAATTTTGCCTCAAGTTTGAGATTGAAAAGATCATCACATCTCAGATCTACTCTACACATCTTTTTTTTTCTTTTTTTTTTTTCACTTCCTTAGGAATTTTGGTCAAGGCTGTGATTTATTTATTCATATAATTATACAAGTACAATCTCCAAAAGAGGATGCTCTTGTAACATTTTAAAGACGTCATACAGTTCAGCGCTTTAAGTGGTACACTGTGGAATTGTACTACCTAAATGACACTGGCTTGAAGGTGACACAATTGAAGAGGCAACAACTATTTCTTACAAGATGTTTTCAATTACTGTGTTGCATCTAATTTTAATCCGGTCAGTACATTCCAGTGCCTGTGCTTTAAAAACTTTAGATTTTGGTTTGCCTACTAGAATGCAGAAGAGGAGTAGAAATCTACTTAACAGGAAGAAAAATGACAACAGCAATTCAATTTGTTTTGTCTACAGAACAAACAAATTAACACCAAAACTAACATTCAAAATACACTACCTTCACTTTTTCAAGGGAGTCTTTTAACTGCTCTTCATTTCCTGGTTCAGAAGGAATACCAGCAACTCTGTCTGCTTCCTCTAACCAGAAAGCGAACTCATTTAAGCCTTCTTGCAATTCTGACAGAATATTCTTTTCTTCTTCTAGCCTGCAGCAGGAAGAGGAATGTGCTACATGTTTACAGGGCAAAATTGTTTAATGTGCTGTTACTGTTCATGTGCAATTTTTAATATTAAATACATAAACAAATAAAAGAAAAATGATAAACATTATTTGCCATCAACATTCATTCTTTAAAAAGGAAAGCACAATAGTATTCTTTGCTTCAGAACTGATCAGGTCAGAAAAAACTTCCAAAGAGGAATATCAAATACATTCTGAAAATAAAGACTTGGTTATAATTAGCAGTTTCAAGTCATCTTCCACCTTTCTGAATTTTTATTTTGGACTTGGTGCTGCAAGTCCCAAGAATTCAATAGAAATTCAAAACTCTGCCAAATCGACCCCTTTGTGGACAACAACCAGAAGAGGACCCCAGCTTGAGAAACTGTAAGAAATCTAAAACTACAGTTTAGAAAAATAGAATCTTAAAATTAGGCACTTAAATCCATTGAAAGATAGTCAGAGGAGGCTTGAGATTTGGCATTCAGGAAATGGGGTTATTTACTGTGTGACCTTGAGCAAATAACCCCAAGATGTAAACGCTTAAGAACACTAGTCAAAAACAAACATTGTTCTCGCTCCTCTTTATATATATCGCCTGTAAAGTTATCAAGTAAGTATTCAGCAATTGTTGCCTTCTCTGCCTGTCTCCTTTCTATGTGGGAGTCTCGAGAGGCATGAGGTCACCACTTCTGTCTTGAAGCCCCTTGATGCTAAAATACAGATAAAAGTGCTATGTGCTCTTCACGTGTCTGATAGTAAGGCTTATGATTTATCCAAAATTAGCACTCTGTCCTTTGTCTGAAGCCAGACTCCTCTGCCCCAGGCTACCTTATTTCTGAAATCCTCTAAGCCTCTCAAATGCTACAACACCTTGCTCTCCATTCCTACTGTGCTGGAAGAAATGAAGAGCAGAGACTCACTCATCATACATTTATTTCTACTGACCAATTTCTACTAATTTCCATTTTCAAAAAGAATGTCTTTGATAAGTATCAGGGTGAAAGGGCTAAGTAGAAAATTACCATTCCCATCACCCAATTGACCAATGGTCCTACAATATGTATAAGCACACAAGTGCCCTTCTTATGGCTAGTAAGGGGAAGAAAACAAAACAACTCTGGAAAAACCTTAGTAAGGGTCTTGTTACACAGTAAGTTTAGGTAACTTCTGAAGCTCTTAAACCCTGGACTGGCTGCATGTTAGCACCTTTCAAGTGGCTTAAACACTTGTTATTTGACTTAAAGTTAAATCACTCCAGGGCAGGATTAGCTCTAATCAACCTAATTTTATTCTTGTTCCATTACTGTGTGGCCAGCTCTCACAGCTATTCCACCCACCTCCAGTATGCCAGGATGCAGTGGCCTCTTGGCTTAAGGTGAGCTGGGGCACAGTGGGGCTGGGCAAAGTGCCTTGTCCCCTGGGGATGTCAAGCAGAATGAGCACCACAGCCCCAGAGCAGCTGGCAGCCACAGTGCTTTCTGCTTCCAGCTGGCAGCAGCATGAGGGGCAGACACCACTTGTGCTATAGAGAAAGAAGGATCAGACTCCTCAGTGATCAGGTGGAGCCAGCCAGCTTGGAGCCCAACCAGCTGGCAGCCCAGCCAGTAGGGTGTGGGGTGATGGGCACTGACTGAGCTCCAGAGAACAAAAGGATTAGGCCCCTCAGAATGAGCTCCAGGACTGCAGCCCTAGAGCTCTTTAGTCCTGTTGAAACTCATGCAGTGGATCCACATTGAGAGCAGGGCCACTGGGCTTAAGTCCTGAAAGCCCTTCTCTCAGCACAGAGCTGCTGCAGACTAGACTAGAAAGTCCCTGAGAAGCTGCTTGGTATCATAGAGATGCAACAGCTCTGCACTGAGAGCAGGGCTGTCAGGGCTTAAGCCCAACAGCTCTGCTCACAGTGCAGAGACACTGTGCCAGTTTCAGATAGTCCATACTATCCTCGTAAGCAACAGTGCAGGCAACCAAATGTCTCTAGACAGCAATCTAAGGCAGGGACTCCTTCCACTGTGGCAGCCAGGGAAAAAGTAGCCTGCCAACCCCAGCCTTGGGCTTATATGTGCCCAGGGCCCTGCCTGCATCTGGTCAGCTGACTGCCTGGGCTGGCTGCTAATTATCTCATTAGCCTCGTTGCCCTGACAGCCAGCAGCTGCTGCCCCCTGCCTGTCTGCAGAGCTCCTTGGCTGGGTGGCTTTCACTCTTCAAGTAACAGAGAGCCCTGGGCTGTCTGTTACAGGGTGCCACTGCTCCAAACTCCATGCTAGCACTAACACTGATCAACATTTGTGCAGCTCACAGAATAAAGGTGTAACACAGCCCTAACAAAGCCCATAGTTACATCTAGGCAGACTGTGGGAAAATGGCAATATTAGGTAACAGGCCAGTGACCCTTCTCACAATTAGTTAAAGAATAAAATTCAGAGCCATTCATGAAAAACTGAGTAATCTCTAAGGGATGGAAACCATAGATTAGACTGCTACGTGTCCCTTTTGAAAAAAAAGGGCATTGCCTAAAGTTAAACGGACTTCAGTGGTAACTTGCACAGCTGTCACAAGATTGAAAGGTACACTTGAAGGACAATACTTTCTTTTCAAATACTTAACCAAAGGGCACATTAATGTTTTAAGAGCAACTCAGTCTTAACCATGGAAACAGTCAGCATTACTAGTATATTGGTATTTCAAAATGTTATTCACATTATTTCAAAATGTAAGCAAGCAAAAGAAAAATTCCATTATGAAAGCAAGATGGCAACTGGTTTACTTTCTCTGATCTCCCATACTTTGCCACTTATCAACATGACAGTCATTGCCAACAAAAAGCTCAGAAAAGTCAAACAGAATGAAACCTATTTTCAGTTATTTCAAAATGTATTTATAGTGAGGCAGCCTTTTTAACTGACTATGCTTTCTGATTGTAGGGCCGAGCAAAATGAATGGTGTTTTCCTTTTGAGAAGGCTTGTGAATAAGCTTCCGGCAAAGAGAATCAAACCAAAAAAGTGTAAGCTTCACACCATTTAACACAAATCCCTGAAACTATTGTTACTTAAAAAAAAAATCTTATGACAAATTATTTAAAAGCTTGCTTCCAAGCATACTGTAAAAGTAGTGCAATTTATAATGCAGGGGCAATGCATAGAGGGTGCATGTGGGTGCACCCTCTGCATGTGGCAGTGCACCCCCTGCAAAAAGATGCTGTTGACTCCTGATCGGTCCCCAATTGCCGCTGCAGCCATGCCCCCCCCAGCCACCAGGGGCACATGCTGTCCATGATGTAATGAATACCAGTCTCTGAAGTTTTTACTAATATCCAAACTTCTAAAATATTGCTATAAAATAACGACTCCTGTATTTTAACTGTCTGTCATTTTTTCTTACTTTAATCTACTTAGAAGAAAGTATTCAACTAATTTCAAGCTTTTAGCATTGATTTTTTTTCCTGCAGACATCACGACAGTTGTATCACTATGTTGTATCACTATGGGTGGAAAATATACATTAGATGTTTACATTTTCCACATTTACTCACATAATGCATACACCCTTTCCCCCAAAAGTCAGATCTCCCAAATTGGGGTGCGTGGCTTCATGGGGAGGCTGATTTTTCTTTGCTAGAACAGAAACACTGGGGAACAGAAGCATAGAAATGCTGTGGTGAAATATGGCTGCCAGCTTCTCAAGCAGGAAGCATGAGGGGCAGAGACCAATGTTAACCCTGAGCAGCCAAATACTATTGCCAGTTCGAAAGCTACTGTGAAAGGATTAACCCTGGACCCCTTGTTCCTGCTTGGTGTCTTAGGGTGCCTGTAGACACACAGGGAAGCTGCTCCAATCTGCTATAATTGCAGCGGGTCAAAACAAACCTAATGAATCAAGACTGCTGGAGCGTGCTAATTGGTAAACCCCAACAACCCGGCACTCCAAAATGCTGGCGGGGGCACTTTGACAAAAGCTCATGAAATGGACTTTACCTAAAGCACCCTTGCCACCATTTTGAAGCACGGGGACGCTGATACATGAGATGCTGCACGTGCTTTCATTAAAGCAACTCTCAGAGCCACTCTAATTAACATCTCCCCCCCAACACACACACACACACACACACACACACACACACTCTCTCTCTCTCTCTCTCTCTCTCTCTCCCGGAGCACATGTAAAAAGGCCCTTAGAAAGAAGCTGGCAGCCATCTTACATGACTTTCCATTAAAAGGCCAGCTCTAGGCCATGAGCTTGGGGGGAAAAATCACCCCCCTTCCCTTTCCCTCTGCCCTCCAAATTCTGCCTTTGAAAAGCAAGGTGTGTTTCTTATTTGGAGTTGTGTTGTATGCAAGACAATATGGTATTACTTTATATGATGAAGTCAAAATATAAAACCTGATAGGAAAAAAAACCCTCATAAATTTCCAGCTAAGTAACTATTCAGTCTCTTCAGTGGGAGACACCTAAATCAATCACACTTGCATGAAAATCCTAGGAGAGTGAGACAGATGTTGTGAGCTCCCAAGCTGAAATAAAATTCTGAGTAAAGCAAGAGAAAAACAATGGCTGCCCAGGATAGTAAAGAAGTTCTTACATGTCAAGACTGCTGAGAGGAGAAAAAGAAAAAAATTATGACAGTGGACTGCAAACTGTTTCAAAATAGAATTTGGATAAAATTAAAATTGCAAAAGGAAACCTATTTCCCATCCAAACTAATGACACTATTAGAATCTGTCTTTTGTTCCTATAACAATGCATATCCTTTTTTTTTTTTTTGCTTTATTCAGTGTGCAACGGTTCCATATTCTTATTTAGTATACCAAGTGTAAAAATTGCGCTTTTACAGAAATTTAGGACTTCACATTCAGAAGGAATTTATATGCAATTTGCCCATCTCCAAATAATCTTCAATTATTGTTCATTTATCTTTTGCTATATTAAGATTTAAAAAAAGTGTACACTAGTCTCGAAATCACTAAGCCTGTAACTAGATGTCACAT